ACACACACACACACACACACACACACACACACACACACACACACACGGCATCCACAATCTAGAAAACAGAGGAGGGAAGAGCAGACCCAACATTGTCAAATGCACTATAAATTCAAAGTCATTGACATCGAGTCAGAACTGATTACACCTGACCCCTCCGTATGTTTTTCGACACTGTGTATTACACGGGAGGAGACTGTCCATCTTTCTTCTGAACAGCCGCTGGTGAATTCAAACTGCCGGAGAAGCGCCATCTTTGGGTTACCAACTGTCTAGCAACTTTGGGTTGGTCTACAGAGATGACACCCAATCAAAACCAGAAAACAAGATTCCATAGCCTACTACGCTTTGCTCTTGTAATCAAGAAGATTAAACAGATGGGTCAATGAGTACATTTCAAAAACAACATGGGAAAATTTATCTCATTTACCCCTTTTACTGTTTGTCTATACATTTTCTTAAAAATGTTCTGAAGAAAAAGAAGGGCGATATTTATATCGTTAGAGGTTCTAAAAGCATCAAGAACCCAAAGAACACTAATTGCAACAAAACTAAAAAATCCAATAGTGTTTGTTCACTGAACTGGTAAATCAATACACAATCAATGTAAATGTCATCCATCTTCATTAATTTTTAGTTTCCTTTTCCTAACAGGCACCTAGTCACGAGAAAGGTGAAACCCTGCACACTAGAGCTTTTTTTAGTGCCTCAACGTGCAATCATGTTGAAAGTAAGTCACACATGCGCACCTGACTTTTGTTTTAACGCCTTGGTTTTCCCAAAGCAAATTTGTCTTTAAGTCTTAGCACCAACCCACGCTGTCAGTGAGAAACGTGTGTAGACTAGCAAGCAGTGGAAAGGGAAGGAAAGATTTATGAGCACATGTTCTTAGTCTTTGCTAAAGTCATCACCAGCAGACTCCAGAAAGCATGTAACCCCGCGTATGTCTAATCAAATTTACAGACCTATCAAGCACCTAGTAAGTGCATGCGCAGGAGTAGACAATGCCAAGGACACAAGAAAGTCTAAAAAAGAGAAGCCTGGCTCTACATGTTTGTAATCTCCTACTGAAATTCATTTAATTATTATCAAGCTCTCTATTGGGAATACAAATAGACATGGTCTCTGCTCTCCTGAACATTTTAATAGGGGCCACCAGACCTCAATATGCAACTAAGAGAAACACAAGGAAGTGGTAAGTGTTGTTCATAAGTAGGTGACCTTATATTTTATCTCATATACAAGACACATCATAAAGGGAGAGAGGGCTCTGCTAATAATTGCACTGGGAAACAAGACATAATTCAGAATGACCCATGCAAACTGAAATGTGTGGCCACTCAAGATAAGAAAAATAAAGATAAAATGGAGAGAGAGTTCATTGGACTCTTACTGTAAATGAGGAGAAGGGAGAGAGCTTTTTACAAGTTTTACACTGATTTGCTAAGAATGTGCATTGTTTTCTCAGTCAGAATTGCCCATAAAAGATATTCCAGAAGACAAGAAAAAGAATATGGAGAAATGTATGATGTCATGAATCATCCCCAGTCTGCTCCATCCTTAATTAACTCAGTCATATCTCCCAAAATCCTTGAAAGCAAACTCCCTTCTCTGATGAGGTCCCCATTACTTCCCTGCAAAGGTACAAGTCCAGCCTTATTTTTCTTGTTTTTCATGCTGTTCTATTGACTTAAAGTACCTTCATCCAATGCACTTAGAAGAGGCATATTCTTGTATGGTTTGCTTCAAACATCACTTCAAAGTCAGGCTCTCACCGTGAAGCCTTCCATGCTTTCTCTCTAAACCACACAAACTTCATCCATCTTGCAAATACTTTAAAATTGAATAGCTTATCCTTTTTGAAAATGATGTTGTTGTTCTGTGCTGTCAAATCAATCCCAACTCATAGCAACAGTATATAGCAGAGTAGAACCTCATCATATGGTTTCCTAAGTGATAATCTTTATAAAAGTAAAGAGTCTAG